CTAATTGCACATGTTTCGTTAATTCTGGAACTTATTTTTCTGAAACACAATTTCAAAGTTGAAAATTCTAGGTGGCGACAGTAACGTATGTTACATTTTAGGGTATTAATGGTACTTGTAAAAGACAAATACCAGATAAAAATGTAAAACTGAGAGAGTCCGTATAAGACAAAGTGGCAGCCACCTTTCTAATAACATTCTGACCTCAAGGAAAACCTTCGTATAAGAGCTGCCCAGTGGAACATCAAATGCTGTGTTTTATTGAGAATGAGCGATAACAGAATTTACTATTGTATTCATTACATTATTTTTCATATTACATATTTAATAGAATCATGAAATAGCTGTATCTTTCATTATTTAAAATATTTGAATCTTTAATTCAATAAATTAATAAATCACCTTAACCTGTGTAATTATGGTCCGTGCTCTCTGAAAAGATGTCTGATGAAAAATTAAATGGTTTGGAGGTTTGGTAGATGAGCTGAAACTGATGTATAAGTGTGACACTTTGATGTTTTGATGTCATACAAAGATGTGAAGTTCTAAAACAGTGATGGGTCTGTGTGATACATTTATGTGTTGGTGTGATACAGTGTTGTGTTGATGTGAAACAATAATATGTTGCCCGGGTGTAGATTTTCCAAGGTTTTTGGCTCAAAAACCTCGGAAAAAAACCTCGGAGTATTGGAACAAGAAAATGCAAAACTTTGCTATTAAAAAAACCTTGGAAAAAAAGGGAGAGGGTGAAAAACCTTGTAAAAAATTTCCGAGTTTTTATTAAAAAAAAACCTCGTAAAAAGTATGACCTCGGAGTATTGGAACAATTTCCAAGGATTTCAGAATAAAAACCTCGTAAAATAATTTCCGAGGATTTTTTTTAGAAAACCTTGGAAAATGAGTGACCTCGGAGTATTGGAACGATTTCCAAGGATTTTTAAAGTGTTTCCGTGGTTTTTTTTTCCAAGGTTTTTAAATGAAAACCTCGGAAAGTTTCTCACAACTGGGAATACTGTTATATTTTCGAGGATTCTTACTTAAGGGCATCAGAGAATTTTCCAAGGTTTATTTGAGCAAAATCCTTGGAAATTTCTAGAATATCCATGGAAAATAAGAAAATATAACATCCAATGAAATATTCTGAAAAGAGCAATTATATTGTCCTTTTAAGGAATTAAGAAAATTCTTTATAATAATACAGAGCAAAAAATGATCACATGACTCACTGAAACATTTAATGTCAGTGTGAAGTAAATAGTAATGCACTACAAATGAAAAGTTAAGTTAGTTATAGTCTTTAATGGTAAATATTACAATCAATGTTCAGTTATAATTTTTTGGTATCCGGCTATATTTTAATGTATTCAAATATCTATCTTTTGAATTCCTGTTCACTCTCCTTAATTTAAAGTGTCCCTTAGTTTTTCCCTCACCATCACAGGGGTCACATGTGGAAAATGCTCCAGGATACAATTCCTGAAATAAATAAAGTAAATATTTAATAAAGTACAGCCATTGAAAGAAGTTAGAAAAACAATTATATAAAATCACCACTGGGCGCAAATCCCTCTCCATGTGGTCAGGATCAAAGACTTCAAACTACTTGCCTTACAACATTGTATTTTTGACTCCTGAAGCCAGGATGGGCTTCTTCCCTCTGAGGGAGCTATCCAGCCCAGGATTAAGGAACACCTGTGGTTATACTCAGGACAGTTCAGTATGTGTAGGCAATCAGAATTACATCATTTAATTTCTTTTTTATTAATCAATAAAAAAATGATACGTTCCTTAAACGTTTCCATAGACAAAAATATTAGTTCACTGTTGATATATATTGTTTAAAAAAATCAGCACTTTTGTGAAAAGAAAAACATCTTTGAGTGATCCAAAACTACTTGAATGACAAGTTGTTTAAGACCTTTGCTTAAAATGAAGGCTTAAATATTTTCAAATAACCTTTTCTGTAGTTACTTTTTAATGTTTCTCTACTGTTTTGAAATAGTGAATTTAATTTTTTTCATGTTGATTTCTATTTTTTCTTCATCAGTACTTTAAGTGTTAGGATTTCAAGAAAACTTTGGTAAGCAGTGTGACAATTCTGCGATGTTAAGAAAAGAAACGATGTCTGTTAATATTATTTTAGATTATGTCATACTGGATGTTACAACCTAAAGCACTCCAAAAATATTGCAAAAAATAACGCTTTTCATAAGGTGATTCCGATTGCCTACACTAATTGTATCCGTCTGCTCAAAGTGACATCTGCATCAATAAAGCTGGAGAGTCATCATGTAACATTAATAGCATTTCCAACAAAGTATCAATAAAAAAATCAGTTCCAGAAACCTTCATTCATTCAAATTTCAAATTGAAATTTTCTAGTTTTAAAACAAAAACATACTGTAGTATATTCCTTGAAGCCTTTCCTCAGGTCTACAGTTGGCTTCCTTAATCACTTGACTTTGAAGGTGCCAATGCCAATGACATTCCAGTATATTCCTCTGCTTTATACTATGATAAAACACAGCAAAGCTGGATAGTTTGGAACAGTCCTGCAAACTTGCTTACAAGCTGACTCTGTAATTAAAAATTTGTAGATACAAATAATAGATGAAAGATGAAAGTTTATAAATAATGTCATCATAGTTTAATGCACTCATCTTGTTCAATACAATCATATACAAACATAGCATTTATACTCATAAAATATCCTCTAAACAATTGTATTTAAACTAGCTTACATTTAGGTTAAAAATATAGATCTAAAATAGTTTGTATTTAATACTTATTTGAAAAAAAAAACAACAACAGATTTTATGCATAAATGTATCTAAAATTATTTACCTGAACATTTTAACTATCTTGTTTCTTTTGTTTATCTTCCTGTCCCAGGTCATTGATCTCTAGGTTCAATTACAACGACCAAACATTTCCTGAATCTTGTCACACTTAGATAAATGTTTTCTTTGAAAATTCCAAAATATGCTCCCTAACATTAATAAAACAAGATATCTCCATAATTGCTTTAAATAAATCCAGGTTTGCACTATTTCCAACTTATAACCACTTGACCCATTAATGTCTGAGATTCAAATTTTTCAACAGTATAACTGAAGGGGCAATCATAATGTGAAACAGGGGTGATCCCAAAATATCAAAGCCATCATCATTTTTTTTTGACATTTATTGAAGGTACAAATATATCAAATGATAAATAAAAGTAAAACTTGAAAATTATAATAAGTTCTTGAAAGAGAATCACAGTTGCAGTGTCATTTTAGACTGATTGTTTTGGATTGTATAAAAACCCAGACTCCCCCTGAATAATCACATGGAACAATCTGGTCTATCCCAGAATGCTCAATGAGAAGATTGATCATGCATAGATAAAGGGAACCACCTGGGGTGCCATTAGTTTTATCTGATCAGTGTGTTATATTCTGTGTGTGAAATCTTAGTGGATGCAGTATTTATTTATCCTAATTATAAGAAATTAACAAGCATACTGGTTATTATATTTCAGACATTCAATTGTACATAATTATATTTAAAGGACAATTAATAACTATTTATGTTTATTGTACACATAATTAATGGCAGAGTAAATTGTAATCTGAATGTATGTCACAGACTTGCTTAGTAGAATATACTATTTTATATGGCATAAAACATATATTAAAGATTAATAGCATTCTTATTTCAGTGTTGCTTACAGGCTGTCAAGAAACCCTAAGTTAAGTCTATATATAGAAAGAAACTGCAGGAAAAATACTGATGTATTTGGAAACTAATAGACATAAACACTGATTGTTTCTTTTTCTATAATTATAAGTTTTGCTCTTTTATCTATTCTTAAAAATGGAGAAGATATCTAGTAACAATAATTATAAATAATAAAAAAAAATATGAAAATAAAAAAAATAAAATTTTCAAGTCTTTCTGATCATCAGTTATTTGAATAATCTTTATCTTATTTTGATTAGTTACAATACCTTTAATTTATAGCCATTAATAAAAGGTATTTTATGGCAACAAGGAATTTACATTGTATTTAACTTTTCCATGTTTTCACACTTAAATTTTTTTAATTGATTCCTCCCCAAAAAATGGCTTACAAATTTATTGAAAAGGAAGTTGGCCATTGACAATGTCCATACTAAAAATTGATTCCCTGGACCAAATCTCTCCTTTCCATGCTGTTGGACAATCATTTTTATCATGTTTGCTCTGACCATGGATTAAAAAATATCCATTGGCAATCTACAGTCGGGTTGTTATCTTAGTTTGCTTTAACTGTTGATTATTGCTTTTGATGCCCATTATAAGTTAAATCATGATTATGTCTTAACATTTTCCGAGATGAAATTTAGTTAAGTTCAATTATCCGAGGTCATTTCCAAGCTAAATATTGGCAAAGTGTTTCCAACAAATTTTACATAAATTTTCTAAGTTCTTTTCCGAGCAAAAAAATGACAAAGTTCTTCATTTCCAAGCTTTTTCCGAGCTGATTTTTGGCAGAGTGTTTAATTCTGAGGTAGTTTCCAAGGTTTTCTTTATTTCCAAGGATTTTTATACAAAAACCTTGGATAAAGTTTCCAAGGTTTTAAAAAAAACCTTGGAATTAAAAAAAAAACCTTGTAAAACTGGTTTATTTCCAAGGTTTTTGAAGCAGTTTCCATGGTTTTTTTCATAAACCTCGGAAAATCTACACCCGGGTAGTGTGATACCATATGTTGGTGTGATACAGTGATGTGTTGGTGCAATACAGTGTTGTGTTGATGTGATACAATAATATGTTGGTGTGATACTGTGTTGTGTTGGCATGATACATTTATATGTTGGTGTGAGACAGTGATGTGTTGGTGTGATATACAATTGAGACAATGATAAGAAAAATGATATAACTATAAGAATTTCACAGACACTTATTCTAAGCCATAAATCTGGCTGAAACCTTTAGAAGCCCTGATATGTCAGTCTTGAGATAAAAATCTTATTATTTGCACATCTACACTAACATAGGAAAGTGTAATTTTCTTAAACTTCTAAAGCTCTTAAATGTTAGTACTACAGACAAAAATGAATTGGTATCAACAGAGATTACAAAATAAGATAAGTATACCCTAGTTGTGTTGTAGGGAATTTTTTGTCTGTGTATCGTTTTTCATGTCTATGTCTATTAAAACTTGTAGATATTTAAATCATTTCTTTCTTCCTTATGATCACTATGGTTACAGACACACAGTGTTTCTGTTTCAGAAAACCAGCATATGGCCTGTGGATAGTTCAAGTCTTGCAGAACAATCTCAGCTTTCTTACAGTCAGCAGATATATGAAGTATGTTACATTCGTCTTCACTGATATCACTCACAAAAACAGATCCATCATCTATAAGGGCTATGCCTATTGGAGTTTGCATCCTATCGTAGCTTCCTGTCAGCTCTCCCTCCCAGTTGAAACAGAAAACTGTTTGCTTGTCACAGTCAGATACAAAGATTGAGTCGCTGTTTGTGGCCACGTGTAATGGATTTTTAAAAATCAGTTTCCTATTTGAATTTCTGAGGATTCTTCTTTGCACTTTTCCTTCCATGTCCATAATATGGAGTTTAGCTGGATTTAGAAATGTTACAACAAGTTTTCCATGATGATGACTGAGTCCATAACATTCCCCTTCTACCTTCAATTTATGTTGTTCATTTATTGTGTTTGAGGTAAACAACAAAAACTGTATTGTTTTAGCAAGTGGCTTTGTAACAGCAATGGTATCATCACTTGTCATAGTAACATCCCAAGGTATTGAATCCAATTTGCATTGTATGATATCTTGACTATCTAGATCTACAACTTTAATTAAAGCATTGGATTTATCTGCTACAATAACTTGATTTCTAGAGCCTGCAGCTATCCCGCTTATATAGCAGTCCTTTTTATCTGTGGATGATTTGACACAAATTGTGCAGGAAAGAGTTTCTTTCTCTGGCTCTGACAATGAAGCAGATAGCTGGTCTGATTGTTCATGTGATGTAGGCCTCGGTGTCCAAAGAGTTGTATCAGCCTTCAGAATTGTTTCATCAATTTCATGTTGTTCAAATATGTATTCTTTACACTCACCTACAGCCTCTTGTTGTTTAAATCTATTTTCATTATAAAGATTCAGTTGCTTAGATAGCTGGTCTGATTGTTCATGTGCCGTAGGCCTCAATGTTCCAAGGGATGTTTCATCCTGAAGAAATGTTTCAATACTTTCATTTGGTTCAAATTTGTATTCTTTACACTCACCTGTTGTAGCCTCTAGTTGTTTCAACTTATTTTCATAATCAAAAATCAGTTGCTTAACACTCTGAAGCTCAGTAAAAAGTTGGTCAGCTTTCTTGCATTTGTTCAGATGTTTCAAAGCATTAGCTGATGCTTCAAGTGATTTCATTATAACATCACTTGTTGTTTCTGTTTTTTCTAACATTTCGCTGTTGTCATGTTGGAGTTTCTTTAAAGTATCTTTAGCTTCTTTTTCCATTTCATCCACCTTCATATCAATTTCAGCCCTTGATGTTTCAATATCTTCTTTAGCATTTGCCAGTGAAGTTGCTGAGCTTTCTAACTTTTGCTTCAAATCTGCAGTCATATGCAAGCATTTTTCAGTCATTTGGTCAATATTTGTCAGTGTGCCTTCCAATTCAATGCTGTCAATGATTTCAGTAGATATATCTGGTATATAATCAATAACACATAATGTTTTTGTATGTTCCAAAGTCACACATACATTACATACTAAAGCCTCATGGTCTTGGCAATAGAATTTGACTATTTCTTTGGGATGTTTTGAGCATGGAGTTGTAAGGTCATCAGACTCTCTTCCAGGGGTACGTAATGACAGTTTTGAATAATCTTGTGTTTGAGGCATATGATCTCTGTCAAGAAGTTGATGACGCCGTGATGGTTTAGGTCGCCTGTGTGTTTCAAAGCAGGTTTGACATAAATGTTCCTCGCAATTTACACAGAACCCAACAGCAGGTAGGCGGATGTTTTCTTTGTCACAAGGGACACAGATAATTTCAAAGTCTTCAGCACTTCCTTTAGACAGGCTAGTAGACATGTTAGACGACAAGCTTAATGATAGAAGCTTGGATTCATTATCTCCACTGAAAGCCATTGTAAATCTGAAATGACCAATTAACTTAATTATTGATTTTAACATTTATCAATATCTGACTAATTCTCCATACATATGAAAAGCATACTTTATATAGTTATCTTAGAGTTACTGTCCTTGAAATTTCTACATTAAGGACCAGAGCAGGTACTTGTGAATAAATATGACAGAGGTCTTACAGTCATACATAAGGAAAAATTCATTTTTGGCCGGGTTGCACAGGTGCAAACCCGGGTTATAGTAAGGTGAATGTCGGGCGAGTGGGCAGAGAAAAACTTTTTGTTACAGTTTTCACAGCAAATACTCTTGATATTTGGCATACAGCATAGACATGTGGCCCCATACCGTGGGATTCTATTTCAGGTCTGTCACTCATCCGCTTCCTGTTTACTGACTTAGTTAAATTTTCGACATTAATGGTCAATAGTAGGAACTTTTCGTAACAGTTTTCTCTACATTAATGGTCAGTGGTAAATATTTTTCATAACAATACAGCATCATGATATTTGGTATAGAAATGCAACCTGGCCATTTCTGTCTTTGACCCATTTTGTCTAAAAAGATTCTTTATAGAAAATGAATATCTTGACTGAAAAAACAACATTTTAACGTATACAAGAAGATTCAGTCTAAGAATTGCTCAGACTTAAACTATACCAAGTTTGGCAATGATTCATCTGTGCTAATCTTTGAGTCGCATCTGTAGTTTTAAACCAATTGAGTTTAATGTATTTGTTCATCATTCATATTTGTTCATCATTCATTCAAATGTTACCGTTTTGTAAGCCTTAACGGCTGCAAATAATAACTATATGTATTTTATACTTATAAAATTAATTAAATATTGACAAATATTGAATAAATAAAATGCGTATTTTCATTTTCCATATTTTTACAGTAAAAATTTATTTTTCACTGCAGTGAAACATATCTCCCAAAAGTTTTGGGAGACATATTGTTTTTGCCTTCTCCTTCTGTCTGTCCGGTTGTCCATAACATTAAGATAGTCTGGCCTTCACAGGTCAAACTACTGGTGGGAATTCAACCAAACTTTACAGGAATGATCAGACCACTATCCCTTGCTGTGCACATTACCAACATGTTCCGCTTCATTGCACAGAGTGGCCACCATAGCTAAAAATAGAAAAATCTTGTCCAGCCTTCACAGGTCAAACTACTGGTGGGATTTCATCCAAACTTTACAGGAGTGATCAGTACCATCCCTAGTTGTGCACATCACCAGCACATTTCGTTAAGCAGCACAAATGGCCACCAAAGCTAAAAATAGAAAAATCTGGGCCAGCCTTTACCGGTTAAACTATATACAGGTGGGATTTCAACCAAACTTTACAGGAGTGATCAGTACCATCCCTATTTGCGCACATCACCGGCATATTCTGCTTTGCTGCACAAAATGGCCATCAGAGCTAAAAAAAAATCTTGTCCTGCTTTCTTACTGGTCAAACTACTTTTGACTTTTCAACCAAACTTCACAGGAGTTCAGTACAATAGTTGTGCATATCACTGCATGTTCCGCTTTGTTGCACAAAATGGCTGTCAGAACTATAAATAGAAAAATCTTGTCCAGCTTTCAATCATCAAGGTCAAGCTAGGATTTCAATGAAACTCAACATGAGTGACCATACATAATTTTGGGAGACTTATGTTTTTGTGACAAAAACCCTTCTAGTTTTCACTGGTGTCTTGCCAGACTACTTTCTTTTAAATTCTGCCAGTACACAAAAAAGTTTAAGGGAAAGTCTTTTAAATTGTAATGTCAAACTAGAAATGTGTCCAATAGGACACGGGTGCCCCCACTGCGCCACTGTTCTCTCAATCTTTTTACTAAGTCAAGGGAAATAACTTTACAAATATTTGATAAATCCACAAGCGAAACCCCAGGTGCAAATCTAAAATATGCTGAGCAACCTGCCCTTAAGGTTTAATGACTATGTCAAATCCAAGTTGAAAATTGCAAAAATTTTCTAAGTGAAGGGCAATAACTCTAAAAATACTACATAAATCCAAACGAAAATACCTGGTGCACAACTGCACATGCTGATCAATATTTCTGTAAAGTTACATGACTCTAGGTCAAATACTTTTTGAGTTACGTGCGACACATGTTGAAAATTGCGAAATTTTACTAAGTCAAGGGCAATAACTCTGAAAAAACTAAAAATATCCACACGAAAATACCCAGGTGCACAACTACATATGCTGATCAACATTCCTGTAAAGTTTCATGACTGTAGGTCAAAAACTTTTTGAGTTACATGCCACACAAGTTGAAAATTGCAAAATTTTACTAAGTCAAGGGCAATAACTCTGAAAATTAGGGATGGCAACGAGTAACCGGTTAACCGAGTACTCGATCGAACGTCCGAATATCGGTTAACAAAATTGATATTCGATTACTCGAAAAAAATATTTAATTTCTACTTTTTTTGCGATTTAGAAAGATTAGTTCAATTCGGAAATGTACACGTATCTGTATAAATACTTGCATGTTAAGTGCAATCACAACATCCTTGCAGAGGTGTGAAAATGTTATCGCAAGTTTAACGAGGCGATGCGTATGGGATTAAACAGTCCTGTGTCGTTTACGTCATTCGGCCTCTTATGATATTTAATCACCTTTAAAAATTAGAACAGTTTGTAGCCGAAACTTGTTAATTATAAAAAACGTAAGTATATACGGAATTTTTAGTTGTAGCTTTGTATTTTGCTACGAGCAGCGATGGAAGAATATATTATTATATACCTACACATACTAATAAATATCTCACGAGACCGAAGGTCGATCGAAATATCAATTTTCCAACATTGCGAGTAGGAAAATGCATATGCTACAACATAATTTTCCTTTTATTATATACCTTTTCGTTTGAATTATAAATGATTTTCATTATACTACACTTCTATAAGAAATTTCAGAAAATGAAACGTAGCTGTCAAGAAATAAATTTATGACCGACGGATGAATACGTAATTTTTGCAAAACCGGCCACGCCTTTTATAATTTTTGGTTTCCGTTTCCAATACACAGCTAAGTTGGAACCAACGTCAAAAGTAGTCCGTCACTTCCATATATGGTACAGTATTTGTCACTAACATAATATGGAATTTTCTAACTGTTGAAGCGTGTTTGCGCTTCAAAGTCATCCTGTATTTTAGGGAGAAAATGTGTAGGTATATACTAAATGCTGGCATTGACATTTCTTATGTTTATATGTATTTCTTGCAGTCCTATTTATAGTTACGAATTCTATGAATTAAAATAGAAAACGAAAGTAGCATGCAGACGGTTTTGATATTGTGTGATAAAACTTAAAGATCATTGGAAATCATCCGAGTAACCGAGTACTCGATCGGAAAAATGACCGAGTACTCGAGTATTGATTTTGGTATTCGTTGCCATCCCTACTGAAAATACTAAAAATATCCATAAGAAAATACCCAGCTGCACAACTACACATGCTGATCAACATTCCTGTAAAGTTTCATGACTGTAGGTCAAATTCTTTTTGAGTTACGTGCGACACAAGTTGAAAATTGCAAAATTTTACTAAATCAAGGGCAATAAATCTGAAAAAACTAAAAATATCCACATGAAAATACCCAGGTGCACAACTACATATGCTGATCAACATTCCTGTAAAGTTTCATGACTCTTAGGTCAAAAACTTTTTGAGTTACATGCGACACAAGTTGAAAATTGCAAAATTTTACTAAGTCAAGGGCAATAACTCTTATTAATACTAAAAATATCCAGACGCAAATACCCAGGTGCATAACTACACATGCTGATCAACATTTCTGTAAAGTTTCATGACTCTAGGTCAAATACTTTTTGAGTTACATGCGACACAAAAGTGAACGGACGGACGGAAGGACGGACGAACAGACGGACGGACAAGGGTAATTATTAATGCCCGCCACTAACGTGGGGGCACAAAAAGAGGAAAATGTATACAATAAACAGAAAATTCAATTTTTTTTCTATAAATACATCATTTATTTTCATCTTATGGCATGAACATTGTCATATTTCACTTGTGACTTCCGCCACTCATAAATTATTTATTTTCATTATACCACTTGGTAAATACATAGAGGATATTTGTTTGTTTTGCATGTAAGATTGAAATATAATATCACTGAGTGAACACCAGATGCAATATTTTCACGAGTGGCGTAGCCACGAGTGAAAATATAATGGCTGGTGTTCACGAATGAAATATTTTTCAATCTTATATGTAAAACAAATAAATTTTCTTTTTATTTCATGCTTTTTAAGTGATTTTAAGTATTTTTACTGGTTTTGCCCCGTAACGTCACGCATTCTCCTTTGTGACGTCATCACATCATGACGTCACATAATCAATTTAGAAATATAGGTCTGTTAAATTTCTTTAATTTTGTTACGTTTTTAACATGATGTATGATGACATCGACTTTCTTTTCCTAAAGAAGCAAATTTACGCACGACAGCATTAATTTGTGCCTGTTATTCCATTTAGTTATGATTTTCTTTTCATCCGCATTCAGATATGGTCCGGCTACAGTTAAAATTATATTTTATAAATTTCACTTGTGGTTTATCAGAATATAATCATCTGATATATTACAATAAAACACTGGAAAGCATGAAATAAAAACTTCTATTTATAGAAAAATCTTGAAAATCCTCTATTTATTCTGAAAACTCACATTGAAATTTTGCTTGTTTATTTGGTTTTATGGAGCACCAACAAAATTTAGGTCATTATACCCAGGTGAAATGTGTACCATGGTTAATCTTAGTACTTCATGGTTTTTGATAATTGAACATGTTATTTCTTTGTCGTCAGTGAAAAAACATCAAATGCCATGGTCACATCATGGTATGACCATGTAATAACATGGTCATTCTGCATATCGATAAGCTATCATGAAAAACCATGGTCTACCATGTAACAAAATTACAGACCATGGTAAAATGACCATGAATGACCATGGTGTACTA